CCACCCACCACCCCGCTCCCCACCACGTCGTTATACCACAATTAGCTTTTGAAAATACATTTAGCGAGTTTAATAAACTTTCTCCCGTGTTGAACGATAATTAAAATAAAGAGAAAAAAATTGTTAATGCTATCGTCATTAAGTAGTTTATTTGAAAAAAAAAAAGTAAATAAATAAATAAAAAGAAAAAAGTGTATGAAAAGAAAGAAAAGAAAAAAAAAAAAAAACAGAAGGAAAACAAAAAACCTAAATTGTATACTCGAGTTTGAAAGTGCATTCCCAATTCGATATTATTATTATCATTATTATTATTATTGTCATTGAGAGGAAAAAAATTGATAGAAAGAAAGGATAAAAGAAAAGAAAGAAAAAAAAAAGTTCTCCATTCGTATCTCGACTCCGATTTTCATTGCAAACATTGAAGAGAAAAGGAAAGAACGTTGATAGAGAAAAAGAGAGAGAGAGAGAGAGAAAAATCTGGTTTATCGGGAATAGAACGGAAAAGAAGAAAGAAAAAAAGCAACGTGGAAAGAGTGAAAAAGAGTGAAAGAGAAAGAGAAAGAGAGAGAAGAGAAAGAGAGAGAGAGAGAGAGGAATCAAAAGATAATTCTATACATTTGGCGGAACATTAATCTTCCGTCTAACTACCGCAGATACAAAATAGCCACTTTTCCGCGGTGTTACCTTCGACTTCTTTTCACGTCTACGAAAGCTTGCCTTTTTTTTTCTCTTTTTCTATTTCTTTTTTTATTTTTTATTTTTTTCCGAAGCCCCCAGGGCTGTTCCGCATCGTCGTAAATCGCCAAGCGAAAGCTGAATGAGGGCGGGTACCGTGAACGAGAAAGAGATAGAAAAGAAAGAAAGAAACAGAAAGAAAGAGAGAAAATGAAAGAGAAAATGCAAGGTATCCTTTAAAACGTTCCCCCACTCCCATGCCCCGTTACCCCTACTCTCCATTTTCCCCACTACCAATCTCCCCCACTCCCGGTGGCGAAATAAATTGGCGCCAGCGTGTTTACACGTTGGAGCGAAATTAAAATTCCTCGAGTGTAGGAAAGCAGCAGCAAGCAAGCAGCCCTTTCGACAACAAAGATGCACAAGGTATGTTGCACAGGTGGTGGAATAGAGGTGTACACACGCGTGGTTGAAGCTACTCCTGAGAAACGAAGAGGTTACGAGGAGAAGGAGTGGGAGGAGGAGGAGGAGGATGGGGAGGAAGGGATAGAGAGAAGGGTGTTTAAAGTAGAAGATAAAGGATCTAGAACGCATTAGGAAAGTAGTTGTTGTAGCAGTAGTAGTAGTAGTTGAACTCAGGAATTCTCAACTAGACTATTGAAAGGACCAATTAAACAAGATAATACATTATCTCTCTTTGAATGTTACTATATTAACCCTTTTGCAAAAAGGTTTTAAAGTATTTTCGTATTTTTTTTTTTGTATTTGTACTTTTGTACAAGTTTTTATTTGTTAAAGATTTATATTTATATTTATATTTAATATTAATCCTGATATTTATATTTCACAGGGTATATCATATATTCTGAATAATAATAATAATAATAATAATAATAATCTATAAAATATTATTTTAATATTTTATAAATTATTATTTGATATTTAATATATTTTAATATCGTGATGTTATTAAATGTGATTAAAGTTAATTAATTTAATTTGTAATTATAATAGTTGTAATTATATAATTATTATTTCTGTATACGTGTGTGTAAAATTCACATTGACCTACTTTAATTTTATTAAATAACATTTCTGAAAATGTTCCAATAATTAATATCTAATATACTAACATAGAAATCCTTGAAACTATTCTAAGTTTGTCAATTGCGTTATGGGTTTACCGGTAAGTAAACTTTAATACTACGCATCCTATTAACGCGTGAATCATGCGAAGTGGAAATGCGATCCTTCCAGAAACAAACATATATATATATAGCGAATATAACGATTCAAATATACATATATATGTATATACAGATGGTACATACAAGTTTGAATCGTATAAAATGACGTAACTCTTGCCAGGAAATGTCCTCCAATAATTCAGTACTAATAAATTGTGTACATCACATCATCAAGGGGGTCCATCGATTAAACTTCGTTACTAAATTATGTTTGCTACGATTCTGAGTATGGGTTTAAGCAGCTAGCTCTTGGCTGCTTCGTTTGATTAACTAATTAACCAATCAGATCGATAATTAATATTACATGTTGATAAAACGAATGCACCGCATTAGACGTACATTGTCATTTCAATGATTTAATAATGAAACAATTATAAAGAAATATTTATTGTTTGATTGAATAAGAAGAAAATATTAATAATATATTAATTATATATTTATATATGTATATAAAGTAATACAATTATTTACAAATAAACTTTATAATTTAATTATATACTAATACTACTAATTATAACTACTTATATAATAATATTTCATATAATAATACTATTAATATATACTGTACTTATTAAT